AGAGGCTTAATTAGATTCAGCATTTCTGTTTGTTGGATGGATTTGTTTTGTAGGGGAGAGCCTCCCACATAGGTGGTGTAGAGGCAAATAATGTGTGCTTTTCTTTTGTGATGTTAATAGCCACCATTTCTCTGTGCCTAGATTCTTAATTCATCAGGAATTGCAAAATGATGACCGTCCCTTCTTCATTTCTTTGCTATCACTTCTATACAGAGAAACATTCCGTTGCTTATTATTTGGTTTTTCAGTGGTACTATCTATGTAGAAAAGCAGGATAAATGTGTGATTCTTTCTCTTTATTACCATTTTTTTTAAAATTAAAGACTTCGTTCCCTAGCACCCTCCAAAAGTGACTAGTTGTGTGTGTGTGTGTGTGTGTGTGTGTGTGTGTGTGTGTGTATCATTATGAACTCATGAATTTAAAAATATTTCTCTTTCAACCCATTGAAGTTGTTATCCTAGTTGATATTCTTTTTTTTGTCTTTGGCCAGGAGAAGCTTCTTCAAGTTGGCTCCCAAGTCCTTTTGATACAACCCTAATGTCTTTTATAGCTTTTTTACATCTGGCATAATGAGATGCTCTAGGCTTATCTTGCATATGAGTATTTCTTGCTTGAGATCTGGAATCAGCCATTTCTCCAAGAGGCCCTCATTTCTTTTGGTGAGAAGTGGTATTTCATTCCCACAGTGTGTGGGCTGTAGGATGCTCATTGCTACTGGGTTGATCTTTGCATCTGTATTTTTAGTGGACAGAGCTAGAGTGTATATATAAATACACACATGTGCACACACACACACTCAAGTTCATACTTTCAATTCAAACCCATGACTTCGAGGTGTTTATTTGACCTCTTGTTTGGTTTTTTTTCCTTTCCTACTTTGTAAGACGATTGGCTGTCCTGTCTCATCTCTGTATCTGCTTTTCCTTGTCCTCAAGGACATCAGGAATGATAGAATTGGAATATCCTGTAAGTACTCATTTACACACAAGATGTTCTCAGAAGGGACCTCCAACACTACCCGCAATATGATTCTAAAAATCGTTAAAATTTATTTTGTATGTGTTCTCCCAATTTTTCTCTCCATTTTAAACAGTTAAATTTTATCTACATTGTTAGAGCATGTAGCCATTGCATACTATCTCCTTTCTGTTCTTCATTTAGTCTTAGTTCTATGTGTAAATGTAGATGATCATCACCAACCATGTTTTATGTCATATCTTCAAGTGATTTTGGTTTTCTGAAGCTTGTTTTCTAGCAGATTCTTTAGGAAGGATTTATGGAATACTGTTCTCTGAGTACTGTATGTTGATAAAAGTTTGCTGCCTGTGTACTTGAAAGTAATTTTGTTTGGCATAAAATTCTTGGCTTAATTTTATTTTATTTTTTCTTTGAGTATCTTAAATATATTCATTCATTTTCTTTTGTTGTAGGTTGATAATCTAATTTTCTTTTCATTGTAAGTCACCTAGTGTTTTGCCTGGGTATCTTAAAGAACTTTTTTTCTTTAAATAGTATTTTTTATTAGGATGTAATATGGTGTTGGTTGTTCTGTTTTTTGTTTTGTTTCATTTTGTTTTTTTCCCCTTAAGTTTCTGGTGTACACTTTCAATAAGCAGTTTCAAACACCCCCTGACACCCTTCTTTCTGGAGAATTTTCTTGAATTAACTTCTTTTTTTTTAAAAAAAAAAAAAAAAAGATGACCAGTAAGGGGATCTTAACCCTTGACTTGGTGTTGTCAGCACCACACTCACCCAGTGAGCAAACCGGCCATCCCTATATGGGATCCGAACCCGTGGCCTTGGTGTTATCAGCACTGCACTCTCCCGAGTGAGCCATGGGCCGGCCCTTGAATTAATTTCTTAGTGTTCCATTTTCTTCTTTAAGAGTCTTCTGTCACACATCTGTTGGATCTTCTTTGCCTGTCTTCTGTGCTGCTTTTTCTTGAGTTCTTTTCATCTCTTTTATTATTTGAGTTTTTTTCATTTTGTTTTTCTTTAGGCACCATCTGTTGTGTTTATTTGCTCTTAGTTTCCTTCTAATTTAATCTTTATTTCTGAAATCATTTTTCTTTTCTTTCCTTCTTTCTTTCTTTTTTTTTTTTTATCAGCTGGTTGGTACGGGGGTCTGAACCATTGATCTTGGTGTTATAACATTGTGCTCTAATCAACTGGGCTAACTGGCCAGCCCCTTATTTCTCATATTTTCTGAGTTCTATTATCTCATTTCTGAGTTTTTCTAATGCTAGTTTGTGGTTAATGATATCTTATATCTTATCTTTGATATATTTCAAGTTGTTTTAAAATATTAAGATTTAGTTGTCATCTCTTTGGGGACTATCTTTCTGTCATGCTTTCATTGTTGTAGTGATGTTATGTTGCTCTTTATTCTCTTTTAAAATATATTACCTTTGGGCTGGCCCCGTGGCGCACTCGGGAGAGTGTGGCGTGCAGCAGCGCTCCCGCCGCAGGTTCGGTGCGCTCACTGGCTGAGCGCGGTGCGGGTGACACCAAGCCAAGGGTTGCGATCCCCTTACTGGTCACAAAAAAGACAAAAAAAAATATATATATATATATATATAAATCTTTGCATGAGATTCAACCTCATTATTTTCTGTTGCTCATTTTTATGTGAATTTAATTTTCCTGAATGTTTAGAAGAGAGGTTGATTTAGAATAGTTTTTCTAATTTCAGTGTTCTGGGGCTCTATCTTATGTTGTTTTTAGGAAGTGTTAAAAAATATATCAGCTTGGGCCGGCCTGGTGGCGCACTGGATAGTGCGCCGCTTGGGAAGCGCGGCGGCGCTCCCGCCCGAGGGTTCGGATCCCACGTACGGACCGGTTCCCGCTCACTGGCTGAGCGAGGCGCGGGAGCAACACCAAGGGTTGCGATCCCATTGCCGGTCCCCGGTCCGGTACGGGGGCAACACTGAGGGTTGCGATCCGTTGCCGGACACGGAAAAAGACAAAAGGCAAAAAAAAAAAAAAAAAAAAAAATATATCAGCTCATTTTCTGAGCTCTCCTGGCTCTATTCTTCTCTCAAACCTTTAATCGGCTTTCATTTTCCTTGGTCTCTATTTCCATGTCCTGTACAATTTGTTTTCTACTCCCAATCACTTCTTTTCAGTGTATTTGTACAATTAATTTGCAGGGTTGCTGGGGACCAGAATGTCCAGGCCTTTGGGCACTACCGTGGGTCCCTGTGCACCTGTCTCCTGAGGCCTGTGCTCAACCTCCTGGCTGCTCAGCTCTGCTTCCTCCTTCATGTACACCTACACCATGATAACCCCATAGTTTCCAGGGGTTTGTCCCCATTTGCTCATATTTGGGGGTACATTAGGAATACCTTATCACCTAGTTGTGTTGTAAATGTTGACCTGGATATTGGTTTTGCTGTCCTAGTAGCTCTGTGTGTTTTTATGAAGGGATTTGAGGAGAGTAAACATCTTTGTCACTGTCATATTTACTGAGTCAGACTTTTAAATGGCTCAGTCTTTGTACCTCTGAGGTCCTTTTTTTCTCTTCTCACTTGTCGTCAGCTCTGCTCTTTGTTAAGGGCAATTGATGTTTTCTCAATTCATCCAGTCTTGTGTAAGTCATAAAGTAGAAGCAACAATACCTTTAGCATTTTGTCAATCATATATTTGATCGTACATTTACATGAGAATGTTGTGTTTACTCTACAAAGGAAGATCTAATGCTGAGCACTCAGCTCCCCCTTCCAGAAATTGTTGTCTTTAAGAAATTCTGGAGCTGCTGCCTTTTAAACTGTAGAACTTAACTGTGGATAAAGGAGAGGAGGAACCACATTATTTATAGTATTTGCGAACAGGTGTGAAGCCTGCTAATTTAATTTTATGCTTGTTGGAACTTATCCGTAACAGGAATTGTCAGGAGACTCATAGTTGAAACTGTATGATCTGAAAATTCCACTTTTTCTTTTGCCAGTAAGTAGGCACTTACTGAAGAAAGGAGCTGTGCCATGTAGAGCCAGGTGCATGGTTTATTTCCCCAAGGAGTGTGTAGTGGAGTTCGGGAAAGACAAATAAATAATTTATTTTATAACATTTATTTATTTTAAAAAAATATATAATATGATAAAAATATTACCATGACATGATTCCTGAATTCTCCAGGCCATCCTATTTTCAAGTACTATATTTAGATCCATACGCTGATAGACCATAGTTTGAGTGACACCGCTTCAGTTTTATTTTGGAAAATAGGGTCTCTCAGGGCCTAATCAAAGCATCACAGGAGCTGGAGGAAAGTCACTGATTCTATTCCAGACACTGCGCTAGGCTCAGGACGGCCCCTGAGCCGGGTGGCGCAGCAGCAGACAGGACAGAGGGTTCTCCCGTGGCCATGGTGGCGGGATGGTGCTGCAGTTCAGTTCTGAGCTGGAAAGTGGAAGTGGAGCAAGATAGAGGAGCTGCTGCTCTGCATGGCTGGTGAGGGTGGGTGGTTTGTGTGGCGGAAGGGGAACGTGGGGAAGTCAGGTCAGCCTGGGAGAAATTTGAGAGGTGGTACAGTGTGTCACCGTGGAGACCCGTGGTGGGAGGTGGCTGGGATGCTGGCTTTTTGGGATGTGGTGAGCATAGCTGGGGCTCAGACCCCCTGGGGAGCAGGTGACAACAGGATGTTTGCTGTAGGTGGTTGGGCTGCTGGAGACTTTCTGCTTGGGGACGATGTTTCCAAGCCTTGTTTCAGTAAGTCGACTTTGGAAGTGGTGTGAGGAATGGACTGGAAAAGTGAGAGGCTATCAGGTAGGGGCAGGTCCAGTGGTTAAGGAAAGAGGCAGCTAGGAATGTCTTTGAAGTGTTGCTCAGTTCTCAAGGAACACTGACCTTTTGGTGGTTTGGGACAGGAAGAACCCTATATTAAAAAAACCACAGATATTTACGTCCTCTTGAATACACAGGGTTAGTAGTTTTCATCATTTCACACGTCACGAGAGCTAATTTTCCTCTCCTCTGTTTTCACTTTTGTTTTGTAGGTGACAGAAGCCCAGTCTCGCTGTGAACTGGATTCCTGCTGGTTGACCGGCCACTCTTTCCTGGTTCTGGATGATGTCAGAACACGACCTGACAGATGTGGTTCAGATTGCAGTGGAAGACCTGAGTCCTGACCACCCAGGTACAGAGCTGTGGGACAGTAGGTGAAGCATTATTCTCTTTATTCTTTGCAAACCAAAGCCACTCTGATGTTTTTTTCCTTTAGATTAAGCAGGAGAAAAAGGGACGCAGGCTCTGTGTGAAAAATCCAAATCGTAGGGAGTGTAAACATGGTCAGCCCCTTCCCACTCCCCCTGCCCCAGCCCAAGTCCCCTCCCAGGTGCATGGCCTTCAGCACCTTCCCTGGAGCGCTGCTCCCTGCACCTGCACCACCGTGGCCCGCAGCTGCGGTTGCTCCACGCGCTCCTCCTCGCAGCTTCTGCCTTGTGAAACTTAGCACCATAGCACGTCGCGGGCGTCATAGCATGTTGGCGTGTACAAAGCACCTCATCTTCTGAACAGCTAGCTACACAGTGCCCATTTACACGTGCACTTTAATGTATTGAACCCTTCCCTTTGGATGGCCACTGACATTTCTGCATTGTTTTTCCTTCATATACAACCCTGTAGGAAAAGTCCTTGTACGTGTGTCTTGGCAGGTATTTTTGTAGGGTGAGTTCACAGAAGTGGAATTGCTGTGTGTGCTTAAAGTTTTGAAAAGACAGATTTTCTAGAAATGTTTTATTAATTTATCTTTTCACCAACTGTGCCTCAGAACAACTTTTTCTCTACACTTTTGCTAAGGCTGGTAATTTTTCTTAATGACATTAAGGCACACATCCAAACTTTGATTTATTCTTTTGTTTTTTTGGCAGCTGGCCCTTATGGGGATCCAAACCCTTGACCTTGGTGTTACAAGGCTGTGCTCTAACCAACTGAGCTAACTGGCCAGCCCACAAATCTGCTTTGAAACCTTAAATAAATATTTGTTTTAAGGAGACCCTTTAGAAATGAAACCCTAAATTTCACAAACTTCATTTCTGAAAACAGTTTGTTTATGCTTTTTACTTTGAAAAGATTTCCTCTTTTTTTCGCCTTAAAGTTTTATGTGTTTTCTAGTTCTGTTGAGGTTGAAGTGACAAATGCACACAGTTAAGTCACTGAGCGCTTTGGTTGTCTGGTCATCCTTTCAGTAAAGTTAGAATGAAGATGCTGACAATGCTGACAGCTTTTCCCCCTCAGAAAAGACAATTTTTAGAAATTTCCTAAGTAAGTATGATGTCTTATTTCTGTGATCTATTTGGTATGTTTTAATTGAAAAACTACATTTGGAAATGAGTTATGGTATGGAAGGGGAATTAAATGTGCAGTCATAAATATGAAGACTGTTTTAGAAATGCTATTCTTTAGTCAGGTTTGCTTCTGATTTGTTTATAAGATGCACTAGCACTGCATATAACAGTTTTAAAAATATCTATTCGTATTTTGGTAGGTGAATGATAATTTCTTTATAAAACACACACTGCAATGTTATAAAAGAAAAATGTTCCAGTTACATAAATTTTGAGCAGTTTTAGAACTATTAAAATTTTGACAGTCTACTTCCTCAATAAATTCTGTCTTTGTAGACAATAGTCCAAAAAAGGATTAGAGAAATCATTTCTAATCTTGATTTTGTTTCATCTCTGCTCCTTAAATTATTGGCAACTACAGTTTCTTATTTATTAAAAACCTCTGTACAGAGCTCTTTGAGGCCTCCCCAGGCACAAAGCTTGCAATCTCTGACCCAAAAGAACATGCACACACCCAGCAAACTCCATGGTGCATCACACACGTTTGCATCCATCGTGGGTTTAAGATTAATATTTTCTCCTCAAATGTAAAATATTAATCTTACAGAATTTAAAAGTATAGTCAAGAAAGCAGAAGAAATAAAAATTTTCCATGATACTAGCAATATGGCTGCTTTTAAATTGTCGGCACGGATGTCCTTCCAGTTTTTTCTTGTTTCCATTTGAAGCAAAGATTTTTAGGTTTTTCTGATTTGCGCATACTGACCATGTGGTTGTACTTACTCTACCTGTTGGAACCTACGAAAGATTGTGCCTCTCAGTGGTTGTGATGGCTTTACAGTGAACAGGGCGTTCTTTTGTCTAATTCTAAAAGCAATGCATACGAAATTATAGAAAGCAATGTGTACAAAAGGTGGCAGAGTACAAGGAAGAAAATAAAGGTCACTGGCAGCCCCACCCCCTGTGAAACGCTGCTGCTTGGCCCCTGTGTGCGCATTAATCTTCTCCCAGGGGTGCGTGGTCACTGGCAGCCCCACTCCCTGTGTAGCACTGCTGCTCGGGCCCAGTGTGCATGTCCATCTTCTCCCAGGGGCGTGTGGTCACTGGTAGCCCACTCCCTGTGCAGCGCTGCTGCTTGACCACCGTGTGTGTCCGTCTTCTCCCGGGGGCACGTCTCTTTGCGCACCACCTTGCCATGCTTCGCTCACGGCCCTGGGAGCCTCGTGTTGCATGCGCTCTTCTTTTCCACAGTGATAAACTGGTGTGTAACCCCAGTCAAGTCACTTAACCTCTCTGGACTTTTCAGCAAATTAGAAGGTTAGAGTGATGATTACTGGGGTCTCTCTCTGTTCTTCCAGTCCCGATATAGTCACCAGTTTCCAGTGAGAGTAGACAGCCTTTGACTGAGGTCCTGAGAACCTTTGACTGACCACAGGCACCTGCAGGCATGGAGTTTCCCATTTTAATTTGATTAGATGGGAATTCACCTGGAAAGGTTTAGGCGAATGTGGCTGCCCTGGATAAGCACTGTGCTTCCTCCGGGTGCTGGTCGCTGGGTTTAGATGACTTACCTCTGGGCAGATCAAACTTCACTGCTGTTGCCTAGGATCTGTGCGAGGTTCCTGTCAGAACAGTGGGACTATTCAGTGCCTTCAAATTTTAGTTTTGAGATGACTCATCTAGTATGTACAGGCCTAAAGGCATTGACACTCTTCTTTTCTTCTCTATTAAGCTCTTATTTGGGATCTCTGTGTGTGTGTGTGTGTGTGTGTGTGTGTGTGTGTGTGTGTGTGTATAACACATCTAAGTACAGTTGTTTTGATCGAGGTGGGGGCAGGGACCACCAAGCTGTGTACTTGGTTTTCTTCTTGGGCTTGCCCCGCCAGCCCTCCTTCTGCAGAGGGAGCATCTGAATGCCAGCCAGATGTGCTTTGCCCACATTTGTGGGCAGCCTTGAGTCGGTAGCTGGGGAGGAGTGCTCTGTTCTGGGGGTGGGCACTGTGACCTTATTGGTATTCCAGTGTGAACAGGTGTGAGTTCTGGTTCTTTCAGGAACGGCCAACTAAGCAAAGTGGCATTTGAATGGGGCTGAACAGAGGGTGGATATGTTTCCCTAGTGAAGGTGGTTGGGCAATTGGTGGTTTGGGAAGAGGGGCTATGTGGTCAGTCAGCACTGTCAGGTGTCATCTGGCTGTTGTGAACCAGCTCATTGCTCTTGACTGCAGTGTGGGATGCACTTGAAAGTGGAGAAATGGTGTACCAAAGTGTGCGTGTACCATAGGTTATTCCCTGTTGGCGAACATTCTCATTTCTCAGTTTTTTCTACCAAAAGTCCTGTAGTAAACATGCTCATGTGTATGCATATATACGTAAATAATATATATGTTGCCTATGTATACATATATAATATACATTCTTATATACAGGCACTCATTTCTGTTAGAATAGATTCACAGACTGGTATTACTTTTAAAAAGCGAGTTAAAGCTATTAACCTGGAGGGCTGTCCATATTCTATTGCTATGTGAACAGAAAAGAAGCAGAAAAATCTACTGATGGGATAGTCTTGCCCCCCATGTGTAAGTCCCATGTTTATCTCCATGTGTGAGCTTGTGAAAGAGGTAGAAGAGACACACCAGACAGTTCACATTTGTTATTTCAGGCAAGGAGATGAGAAAGAAAAAAATACTGTAGTGGGATGAAAAAATACTCATAGCATAATGTTTAATAAAAAAATGTTGACTATAAAATTCTGTCTATAATTACAAATATGTAAATTTTTAAAGATTGACCATTGTGGGCAAATAGAAATGTGATTTGCCCAGAGGAGGTGATTGTGGACAACTTTGGTCTTTGGTTTTGTGGTTGTCTTTAATATTGCTTTTGTAGTCACCTTCGGATGGTAGGAGGGGTTGGGATCACATGGTAGCAGGCCATGTGCCAGGCTGAGTGCTCATCCTCAAGGAGGCTATGAGGCTAAGCCAAAAGGTACTGGTAGGGAGGACCTGATCTCAGCACACTGTAGGGGGAGGGATGGTTTTCTGTGTAACTTAGAGTGTTAGGCTTGAGACTGTTTAGATTATCAACACCTAGGAAAGTGTAAATTCAGAGAGTGGTTTTGATTTTGAAGTGAGGTAGCCAACAGACAAGACTCTGTTTTAAAGTTGGGGAGACACCATTATTGTTGATTAGGTTTTATTGTGCTAAACTTCAAATAGGGTAGCTCCACAGAGCACTGAATGAGAAGCCTGCAGTTTTGGTGTTAGGATTGACTCAGTAGCGCATTAGGGAAATAATTTATCCAGTATCTCAGGTTTTTTTGGGATTAAGAAGGGTTTCTGTTTTCTGCCTGGCTGAGAATTTTAAGTTTAAAGGTAGAATAGGTAAAATATGAAATAGGTTATGCCATTTCTCATTTAACCTTAAAGTGTCAGTACTGTTTACTATCTTAATGTGAGAAGAATTCTATACAAATTCTCATGTTGAAGTTTAAGTTTTTGTCTCTGTCATTGATTTTCAGTTGTTTTGGAGAATCATGTAGTGACAGATGAAGATGAACCTGCTTTGAAACGTCAGCGACTAGAAATCAATTGCCAGGATCCTTCTATAAAGGTAAAAATATTGACGTATTTTATTATGTATAGTATATCTTAGTTTTCTAGGGCTGCTTTAACAAATTACCATAAATGGGGTGGCTTAAAACAACAGAAATTTATTCTCTCACAGTTCTGCAGGCCAGAAGTCCTAAATCAAGTTGCGGTCAGGGCCATGCTCTCTCTGAAGGCTTTAAGGGGAGGATCCTTTCTTGTCTTTTCCAGATCCTTGTAGCTCAAAGTGTTCCTTGGCTTGTGGCCACGCCATTCTAGTCTCTGTCTCCCTTTTCATGTGCTTTTACTTATGTGTTTGTGTCTGTTTACCCTTTTCTTCTAAGGACTTGTGATTGGATTTAGGGCCTGCCTTAATCCAAGGTGGTCTTGTTGATTTAATTACATCTGCAAAGACCCTTTTTCCAAATAAGGTCACATTTATAGGTTCTGGGCGTTAGGATGTGTATATATCACTTTTGGGAATCACCATTCAGCCCACTATGTAAAAGCATAAAGCCATTTTTCCCTTTGAAGGGTACGGAGAACACTCCTTGTTTAGATTGACATTGCTGCCAAATGAGGCCTTTTCCTGCAGATCCATGGGCCTATCTTAGATGGAAGGAAAGTGAGCAGTTACTGTGACTGTACTTTCCACTAGTGGTGGGTTATTTCTGTGCCTGTCATTAAGTCACAGGTCCAATGTGTGCAGAGTCATGGAGGTAAATACAGCACATGTGAGAAGTTTATGAGCTATAAATAAAAATTCACTTTTGATATAATTCCTCTATACAGAGCGTTTATTTAGAAATATTCAATTCATTCTGTTAACAGGAGGAGCAGTGGAACTGAAACGTGTGCGGGTGAATTAAGAATATATTTTCATTAGATTTCTATTTCAGACCAATAGAAAGTACTTACCGAAGTACTACTGTATTATCATATTTTAAAATAAAATGTAATTATAATTTCGTTACAAAAGACACATCCCTGTAATCCACACAGGAATGAGTGAGTGAAGTAGGCTCTGCTTGGCTTTTGCCACCACTGTGCGTTAGGTCAGGCTGCGGCTGGAGCGCTGCACACGTGGACAGCGTTTGAAAACATTTGCCTACCAAATTGCCAAGAGCTCAGCAATGAGTAGAGCTGAGTGGTTTATGGTTCATATCACTTGTATATAAAAGACTAATTAAGGGCCGGCCCGGTGGCGCACTGCTACAGTGAGCCGCTTGGGAAGCGCGGCGGCACTCCCGCCGAGGGTTCGGATCCCACTTGCAGACCGGCGGCTCACTGGCTGAGCGAGGAGCGGGGGCAACACCGAGGGTTGCGATCCCGTTGCCGGTCCCGGTCCGGTACGGGCGCGACACTGAGGGTTGCGATCCGTTGCCAGTCACGAAAAAAGACAAAAAAAAAAAAAAAAGACTAATTAAAAATCCTATTCCTCACTCTTCCTTCTTCATTATTAATTAGTTTAGTAAGTTGTTTAATTAGTATATAACAGTGATTTTCACCCAAACCCCAGGCAGAATCATTTCTAATTCAGAATTAAAACAATATGGTTTTACTGTATTTAAAGAATTTGGGAGCCAAACATTTGATGTCCTCAAACTATTAAGAATTGCGTGGTTTTCAGTGGTCTTATCTCAAGACTCCAGCCGTAGATGGCGGCTTCTCATGATGGCGCACGTTCAGTCGTACTGTTGGCTTTCCCCTTTCGTAGATCAGAGGAAATGTGGGTCCACCTAACACTCGGTGCTTGTTTCCTGACATACTGCTCAGTGTCGTCTTCTGATGGAGAGTAGCCAGCCGAGGGGGGTGAATTAAGATTGGTTTCTGTAGCCCTTTCCCATGTACTGTAGCACTATCATAAGGATTCTTGTTGGGGATGTGAGGACCTGAGACTGTAGTGGGTCATCTGGATACCATGTGGATTTTCTTACCACATTGCTGCCCCTCACTGCCATGTATACCAGGAAATTAGGCAAATGCATTTAAAATTCTTCAGGAGATAAGCTTGGTCTGCTGAAAGTGCAATGAAGAAGAGGGATTCACTTTCTTTTTCACCCAGGATTTGATGCCAGCTACATGATGTGACAGATGATAGTGCCATAAGTCTGATATTCTGCAGATTCCCTTCAGATCAGAGAGGAGAGTGGCCATAGCCAGAGCTGTAGGTCAGCCGCATTAAGAGGCAAAGCCCTTACTGGCAGACAGGCCGCCTTCTGCTCTCCCATGCCCTGAGGGCTGCGCCAGCTCTCATCAGCTCTGTGTGCCCCCTCTGCACTACTGGGCCCTCTCCTTCCTCTGGTGTGTCACTGTGGGTGCTTTTCTCTAAGTCAAGGGCAGAAAAGGAGAGGGAAAAGATGAAACACACATTCTTCATTATTTTCAGATACCGACTCTCAAGTCAGATGTCAGCCTTACTACTAAGCAGGAATAGTGGGTGCTTTACTAACTTCCTACTAAATAGCACCCAAGTCCTTCTGTCAGCAGAAGAGACCTGGTTTAGGATAGCTCCTTTGCACGGTGGAATTTCTACATGATTAATATGTTTCTTTGTGTGTTCCTGGTGACACTTGGCAGGAATGACAGTCGTGGGAAGTGAGGTGCTTTACTGTCTGGTTTGTGTACTTGATCTTTTTCTTGGGTTTGGAGTTGTGCATACCACTGCTTGCTTTGAGTGCTTGGAGTTAGGAATTGGGACTAGACCCAGCAAGAATAGTCAAATGTGAAGCTACTCTTTTTGCTGACACTAGATGGCAAACTTGCAGTTTTAGAAACTCCATGAGAACCTCATTACCAAATTTCAAAACCAGGGCATATGTGTGATCTCATCATCTTTTCAGGGCAGTTGGGTATGATGTGGACGTGCACTCCAGTGGTTTTTTTTTTTTTTTTTTTTTTTTTTTAAGATGACCGGTAAGGGGATCTTAACCCTTGACTTGGTGTTGTCAGCACCACGCTCAGCCAGTGAGCGAACCGGCCATCCCTATATGGGATCCGAACCCGGGGCCTTGGTGTTATCAGCACCGCACTCTCCCGAGTGAGCCACGGGCCGGCCCTCCAGTGGTTTTTAGGCTATTTTGATGTTAGGTGTAATCTGTTTTTATTGTTAGAAAGACTTAACTAGTTTTATGTGTAAATTTACTGTTGATTAAAATGATCGGAGACGCGAAGGAAGACAGCAGACGAGATGCAGGTGAAGAGCGGGAGCCACTGCTCTCTCAGGCAAGTAGCCCCGACCCAACCGCTGTTACAGCTTTTATTACATTTAGCAAGCTTGTGCATGCAAGATAAGCATTAATGCATAAATTCTGTTATACTTTTCTCAAGAGCAGAAGGCCGTTACCTCCCTTCTCAAGCACTTGGTTATCTGTAATGCGCCTCCTGGGAACATCCCAAGAAAGTGTTCTCACAACTTCAAACGTTCTCAAGGATTGCTTGCAATCCTTGATATTTCTTGGTTGTTAACTCGTATGCGAGTTCACCAAGTGAACACGTCGTTGGGTGCTGACCACAGAAGTCCGTTAACCATTTCCTTCAATTTACTGATAAATATAACAACACATTAAAGAATACATGCGTTTTTTATTATATGGGCGTAAGTGTAACTGAGAATCGCGGCCACGCACTGAGTCGAGGCCGTGATGAAGCAGATTCATCTAAACACAGACGGTCGCGCTTGTTTACTCAAGGGCTTCTGGCTCATGGCTACAGAGCGAGTCACAGCATGGAGCTGTTCTGTGGGAAGAGGTACAGTTCAAATTAGGAAATAGCCATTTGTGTTCTTTGGAATTGTCTCCTCGAAGTTCCAGATATCCTTTCTAAAGTTTTTCTTCTTTTCACTTCCAGTCGTTCCTGTATTCCATTAACCAGACAATATGCTTACGGCTGGATAGCATTGAGGCCAAGCTGCAGGCTCTAGAGGCTACTTGCAAATCATTAGAAGAAAAGCTGGATCTGGTCACAAACAAACAGCACAGTCCCATCCAAGTTCCCATGGTGGCGGGCTCCCCTCTCGGTGCGACCCAGACGTGCAACAAAGTGCGATGGTAAGAGCAGACCAGAGGCACGCGGCTTCTCAGTGTCACTGGGGAAAAGTGTCTCACATCCCCGCTCACCAGCTCAGTTGCTGGATCTGCTGCAGACACGAGGATCCTGCCTTGGTAGTTTCATGCACTGATTCCAGTCAGACCGAAACTAAACACACGCTGTCCTGCTAGAGCGACTGAAGTCATTCCCACACTTTCTGACATAAAGCAGACTGACGTGTCTTTTCTTTGAAACTAGCCCACCAAGTCTTTGAAGGTGCGCATCTGTTTCCTTTTTCCTGCTCCATCTGGCTGGTCTTTAGGTGTTTTTCTTCATAGGTGGTGTTTATAAATCTCACTTGAGTATGTCCAACTTCCCATTCAAGGCTGTAGTTTTTGTTGTTCCTATTTTTAAAAAAAATATTTAGAGCTTAATCCTAGAGAGATATATAGTAATTTATGTACTGTTTGAATTGAAACTTTATGAATACTTAGCTTGGAAAGATGTCTTAGAAAGTCTCTGGCCTGCTAATGTATGTTAGTCCAAGGCATTGTATCAGATACTTTAGCTCATGAGCTAAATCTCAGGCTCCAGGCGGCAGTTACTATCGGTCCTATGGGCATTTTTATCCTTTCCCACACTGGCTAAAAAAAATAAAGTCATATTTGTGGCAGTCTCTTGGTGAGAGCTTGAAGCCCTTTTACTAAGGGCTATTCTCTTTAGGTTCTATGAACCAAGTGCAGCCTCTTGCCCTGGTTTTCTGTGAGGGTGATGAGATGGTGGTGGGCAAGGGGGCACAGCAAGCCTAGAGGGACTACAGTGGCCTTGCTGCTGACATCTGCTGGGTGCCACCCTCTCTTTGTGCACTCGCGGCAAGAGCAGTGTTAAGTGCTTTGTGGACTTTACAGGTGAATGTGGGAAGGGAGGGGAGGGGTTCCTTTGCTAGTTGGTTTTTGGATGCTCACAAACATGTCCCAGTATCAAGGTGACCACTGTCCTGGTTTGTCTGGGATAGCTCCGGATAATACCTGCTGTGCTGTTGTGATTTATAAGGCCGCTTCTAATTCTCATAACTGCCCTGGTGTGTTTGAAACCCTACTTGGGCCCTACCCCTGATCTCCACATGGTGGTGGTAGAATCTGGCATCTCAGTTCAGAGAGGGGAGGTGGGCATTGTCATGCATCACTCAGAGATGAGGCCTTTATGCTGAGTTTATCCTGTGCTGTGAAAGGTCACCAGTGTGTTTTCTGCCAGTAGTATAATTTTTTTCTAGATTCATACAATAGTTGAATTCCTGGAAAATTCAAGTTATATTAAAACTATGCAAAAATATTTCACGTATAAATTTTTTTTTTTTTTTTCCCTTTTTTCATGTCCGGCAACGGATCGCAACCCTTGGTGTCGCGCCTGTACCGGACCGGGGCTGGCAACGGAATCGCAACCCTCGGTGTTGCGCCCGCACCTCGCTCAGCCAGTGAGCGGGAACCGGTCTGTATGTGGGATCCGAACCCTCGGCGGGAGCGCCGCCACACTCCCAAGTGGTGCACTGTAGCAGTGCGCCACCGGGCCGGCCCCACGTATAAATGTTGTATGGAGTAAGACTCTGGGTTCAGAGAGTTAAAAGCATGTTTTTCACTCGTATGGTGTTTGGGACACTTGAAATTTGTGCGGGAGTATTTTTTGTTAGGTGAGGGTGTTTTATGCATTGGAGGGCGTCTCAGCCTCCTTGTCCTGTACCCACTCAATTCCGACATCTTAATCATGTCAACCGTGTGTCCCATTGGACTTCACAGCACCCCTGGGCACCTCTATTGAGAACCGCTGTTCCACAGGATACAGCAGAAGGATGAACAACACCTTTCCTGCCCCCAGAACTTTGCACATTCTGAGAATGGCTGCCTTGTCACTTCTGTACTTGTGATTGGAGCAGGTCATCTTTAGAAGTTAGGGAAAGTGTTGACAAAATTGGTTCATTTAGATTCCACAATGGATAATTTGTGATGGTTTCATCAGGGTTGGGTGGGAGAATTTACTGTGGATGAAGAAGAGTTTAAGAGACTGACAGTGTGATTTCAGTTATGGTTTGGGCCTGGAAAATGCCTTATTTGGGAGGAGCTTCGGCCTTTGGGTGTCACTGTTCGTTACCCTGGCCTGATACTGTTGGGGTGGCCTTAGCCGAGTCATACCATTGTTTTCAGTCTCAGTTTCCAGTTTCTTTGTCTTTAAAAGAAGATGGGAAGATAGCTTAGGTCTGCTCTTAGAGCTGCTTAGCGTCGGGATTCTCCCGCCATTCGATGATGACAGCACTGCGCTCACTAAAGCAGGGGCTGGCGAGAGAGAGGCTGGCACCACTGATGCTGAGCCTGTATCTCCTGATGGCTGTGCATGTTCCTCTGAGTTTTGAGTTATCCAGTGATAGATCTGCTCACTCAGAGGCATTTCCAGGCTGCAGGGAGCCACCGTCCTTATTACTGCCTTCGGTGATTGTGGGGCTAGTGGGACGACATGATTAGTAACTCTTATGGTCAGAAATTTCACTATGTTTCCCTCATACAGGGGAAAGATTTTGTCATGTAGAGACCTGCCATGGTTTTCTGTGTGTATCTCTGTGTGTATATTTGGTAAAATCAAAGTTTTCTAATACTGACCCAAATTTATAATGTATTTAACTCAAATTAGCTAGTTTTCCTGGCTTTAAAAAAATCGTATCGGCAGGGTAATATCAACCCACTGTAGAATACATTTACTGTATATTGGCATGAGGTCTATTAATATTGTTAATAAAACCATTACTTACACAAATTAATGTAAGATTAATAGAAAGAAAAACCAGCTGTAATGCAGCCTCTGGAGAGTGGACGAGAAGCTGACCTCTGAAGGACCACTTGCCCTTCATCTGGGGGGCTGCACATGGCCAGAGCCAGCACAGCCTCACGGCGGGAGGGCACGCCACTAAGCTCCCCCACCCCCCTTACTGGAATCCACTCCACCTGTTGGGTATCTCTAATTAAAGCTGGCTTGGAATAGCCTGTGCTATCAATGCTGAGAGGTATTCTTTTTACTCCCTGGAACACAGAAGACAGTGAAATATTGCCAAACTCAGTTGGCATTTTGGATACAGATTTTCAGATTCTACACCTGAATGAGAGTCTATAAATAAATTCAAGAAAAAGAAGAAGAAAAAAAGAAATAAAGCCTTTTTTCTTTGAAGCTAAAGCTTAATCATTGTAATAAATATGTTCTTGAGGTTGCTCGGATGGGGTTTCATCCAACAATAGTGCTCTACTTGGGGACAAGAAAGATGGACTTTATTTATTTTATTTATTTTAATGCTTTTTTTCTTCCTGCAGGTGTGCCATAAATTCCGATTTTTGCTTAATTGTAATTCTAGGTGTAGTGACATGGGTTTTAACTGTTACGGTGTTTGGCAGGCTGTTGGGAGTCGTAAATGCTGAAGCGTTCTGTGTTAAGTTGTGGCAGACCGTTGGTTAGCAGACCCATCCTGTGAATGCTGGGCTGTGAGGTCTCAGTAAGGGCCAGCATTTTACTACATGGCCTGAGGGGCTCAAGCGCATGTACAGCTGCATTTCTACAGATAAATGTGAAAACCCTTTTTCTGCACTTCTTTGAAGTTAGACACAGAGACATTTGAAGGAAGCACATTAGGTATATTAGTCTGTTTCTGTTGCTTATGACAGAATACCTGAAAATAGGTAATTCATAAAGAAACAAAATTTATTTCTTACAGTTTTGGAGGCTGAGAAGTCCAGGGTCCGGCGGGTGCATTCGGTGAGGGCCTTCTTCTAGGTGGGAGCTCTCTACAGGGTCCCATGGCCATGCAGGGTATCACATGGCAAGAGAATGGCATGAGCAAGAGAGCTAATTTTCTCACTCGCTCTCTTTATAAAGCCATCAGAACCACGCCCATGATCACTCATTAAACTATCAACCCATTACTCTATGAATGGATCATCCATTCACAAGGGTATGGTCCTCTAGATCCAATCACCTCTCAAAGGCCTCACCTTTCAAATACCAAAATAGGATTTGCCACCCTCTTAACACTGTTACAATAGAGATCAAGTTTCCAATACATACTTTTTTTTTTGTCTTTTTTTCGTGACCGGCAACGGATCGCAACCCTCAGTGTCGCGCCCGTACCGGACCGGGACTGGCTACGGGATCGCAACCCTCGGTGTTGCTCCCGCACCTCGCTCAGCCAGTGAGCGGCCGGTCTGTATGTGGGATCCGAACCCTCGCCGCGCTTCCCAAGCGGCGCATTGTAGCAGCGCGCCACCGGGCCGGCCCTCCAATACATACTTTTGTGGGACTCATTTGACCCACATTTGTTTTGGCTTGATGCAGAACAGCATGGTTGTGTGCACACCATACATAGATCAAGTGATGGGGTATCTGTTTGTCCAACGGTCTCTTATGGAACCAGACTACTTGATAACTCAGATAGCAACTCAAAACCCAGTTGTTTCTGCTTTGTTTTTATTAACTGAACATACTGACTAAATAGAAAAATGTTCTTATTTCTTATGTTTAAAAGTGATAGTTTTATTTTTAAAAGCTTAAAAATTAAAGCTTTAGCGTGTTTCTACACCTTTAAAACAACCGTAATAAATCAGAGGGTTCTTTATGATATTGGTTCTCAGAATTTTTTAAAAAGTGATTTAACGTTTCTCTTTCAGAGTGATGGGTCATGTAAAACTTACGGAGGGGAAATTTATCTTCTTTTTTTCCCTCAAAACTGACTATTGACCCACAGAGAATTGAAATATGTGATTAAGAAATTATTTGAATTCCTTCTAATGTGCTGCTTGCTGATTCTTTATTTCCTGAAGGATCTTTTGTTTTAAATGATGATAGATATTTGTGGAAGGGGTGTTCTGTTTTTTGTAGCCTTCATGGCTTCTTGGCAGAGAAGGGTCTCACTCTGAGAGTCTCTGTTCTACCGTTTGAGCACTGGAGTCTTGGCAGGGGTGAACCGGTGTTCCTAGTGTTTCCAGTTTGG